GTGCATCTCTGAGCTGCCCAGTCCTGAGAGAAAAAAAACAAGAATGAAAGTGAGAAAGAGGTATTTTACAAAAACAGCCATGCTGTCAATTAACAGGACGGCTGATTTCTCCTCCCACCTGCACAGTCATGGCCTCTCTGGAGCCTTTCACTTCGATCCGGGCTTTGTTCATAGAACCGAGGTCCATCAGTACCGGCTTGTCGTTCTCCTCCAGGAGCACGTTAGTGGGCTTCAAGTCTCTGATCATCACAGTCAATTAGGTATAGAGAATTAATTGGCTTTCACACACACTGAAATTAGCATAAATCGGTTTCATCGCTGGTTAGTAAACACCAATCAGGACATTTACTTCTTTACTTTTTGCGCTGGAGCTATGAGGCTCAATGTAGCTTAGCTAACCAGTCCACTATGCCTCAAAAAAGTTTAAATGATTAAATTCAGCAATTTGTTAAAATGTTAATTTCTTACATAAAAGGATGTTGTAAGAACAAACACAAAAGCCAGATAGTTTGTATTTACTAATTAAAGTTTAACTATATAATCATTCACATAACTTCCACCTTTAAATTTGGGAGGCGGGGCCTTAGGGGGCGTGTTCTAAAATGTGACTATTATAAACATAATTACTAGCTGTAAACTGATACATGCGTTGCACAAAGTGATAGCATATTGCACACTGGAAACCAGTGACCACTGGATAGTTACCCAACATGGCTGCCTTCATAATGTTACACATGACGTTCAGCTACATGGTGAAGTTTTGTTAATGTTTACAGGTTACAGTTATTGAAATTCTCTTACTTTGCATTCAGAAAACAGCACAACTGCTTTGGCTGTGTTGACTTCTAAAGGAGAAGCGTTTATGGTTGGCGAGTTAGCTAGCTACCCTGCTAGCAAACAACTCGGGCAGGTTGGCAAACGAATCAGGCTACCACCAAACTTGGACTTGTTTCATAGCCTAAATTCATTCAGAAAAATTTAACTGAATTTAAAAAGCTAGCAAAATAAGCTAAACTGCGGAGTCACTGCTGAGTTGCTAACACAGGGTAACAGTTAGCAGTCAGTTAGTACACTGGATTACATGGTCTTTTATTTTTTATTTATTTTTTATTTATTTTACTGTTTATGTTGGGCAGGTTTGTACACTAGGATTGATTTAGCACTTAAAATTACTTCAGAAAAATTGAATGGGATTCATAAAGCTTGCAAAACAAGCATACAATTTCTGGAACAAGCGTAAATGCTGAGTCACTGCTAAATTTCTAACTGAAACAAAATGGCAGACTTTTTTTTCCACGTACAAACTTTTGGTCATGTCTTATGTTGCAAGGCGACTACAGCTTAAATCACACATGTTTACAGAAAAAGATGTTGGGTGAGTAGACTTTCATTACTTGTTAGCTACATTAGCCTTGTAGCTAACAATGTAAAACTACCTGTGTGCATATCCCTTGTCATGGATGGCTTTTAGACCTTCACAGACACCATGGAAAATGTGCAGGATCCGGCTCTCAGGCATGGAGCTACCTTTTTCCCTCAGCTTCTCCAGGACGGACCACAGACTTCCTTTCTGCACCAGGACACAAAAACACACAGGTAAAACCTCAACTCGTCTGAAGTGAACATGTTAGGTGATAAAACTTTCCTTAAAGGGTCCTGTTTGACCACTATTAGCCATTAGGAACTATTCTAGGAATATCTAGGCTAGTGGAAATGCTAAGCATAGTAACAGGCAATATGAGCTAACTTTAAAAACAGAACATAAGCTAGAAAGGCTAGTTTTCTGCACTGACTGACCGTATGGCCTTCTTTACTTAGTTTGTAATGCATCACCTTTAGCCTTTTATGCTAACATTAAAAATAAACTTCCTGCTGTATTGTTTCTCTGAAAAAAACAAAACGTATATTTAGCAGGTTTTTTTTAATGAGGAAGAAGACCATACTCTTATTTAAATAATTTTTTGTCATTATTACCTTTATTTCTTTAGTTAGCCTTATGCTAGCTGGCCCTGACTAGCTTTAATCCTCCAGATATTATTATACATTATGCTAACAGACTTATTTTAGTTCTGAGTTATCATTACCGTAGCTCTCCAGTTAGCTTTCATGTTTCAGTTAACATCAGGCTAATTGGCGCCACACTAGCCTTATGTTTATAGTTAGCATTATGCCATTAGTGCACTTGGTTAGATAGTTAGAATTTAGTGATAAAATATTCTTCTGTTATTGATATATATTTGGATAACTCGGGATCACTCAGGAGCAGTGTTCCTGTATAATGTCCTCTAAAGTAGGCTACTGGTACAAGTTTTTGGGTGAGGAAGGCATACACTGATGTAGGGCAGGAGGAGCCAGGCCTCGGTCTTTCCTCCACGCTCCATGAAGGCGTGGCCCGTCAGACTCAGAATGTTGGGGTGGTTGAACAGTCGGTGCATCTCCACCTCCATCTGTGCCTCCTTCCGTCCCTCCCGGTCATGACAAAGGATTCGCTTCAGAGCATAGAAACGGCCGTCCTGAGCTCCTTCTACCAGATCAACGTAGCTAAAACCGCTGAAGGAGGCACACCATGGAGAAACATGAGAAACCAGAGCACTCAGACTTTAAACATGTAACCAGGATCTATGATTGTGTACGATATACAGAAAAAACACCAAAAAAAAGCCCTCTTCTATGCGTGACACGCATCCTAATATCGCTAACATTTGCTAACTTACCTAGCTGGCTATTTAAAAGCTAATAAACTAGCTTGCATCACAGGGATTTTGGAATCAAAGTATCAATTTGCATCGTCATTTTCTTCAGCAATTTATTTAAGAGTAGCTAAATAGTCAAACTATAATGTTACCATAACAACCACCATCTGTTCATCACTAACATTAGGCAACTTAGCTAGCCGGCTAGTTATCTGTAGGTCAAAATTTGAAAAGTAGAGTCTCACTATTTTTGTCTTGCTCATGACAAAATGACAAAACAATTTTTAAATTTGAAAACTTTTATGTTGGAAAAGAAACTGAAAAATATTATTACTTAACGTGATATTTTACATATTACTATTTAGCAATATAATCAGCAAAGTTTTGGCAATAGTTAGCTGTAGCTAGCTGTTTTAAAACTCAAAATCCAAATAAATCCAGCCTCTCCTTTCAGTGTTCCTTCAAAGCCATGCCACAAAAACGAACACACCTTCACACTGCCTGGTTGATCATTAATTCTAGAAACTAAGCAGCTTAATTTTGTCTTACCCCTCGTCCAGTTTCTGGATGAAGTAGTATCTCTTGTTGTCGATGGTGATGGAACTGCGAGAGCAGATACACAGTGCGTGTCCCATCCTCGACCTAGCATCGCTCACTCATCGAGCAGAACTGCCACACACACACACACACACACACACACCCCATTCAGTTCATGAGAAATTACGTACGAAAAATACGTACGAAACACTTCTGCACTTCAGCAACTCTATGAAGATGACCACATTACAATTAAAAATGTTCATGGTCCAACACACATCTAGTGTTTCATGTAACCATCAACTTCAGTCATTCCGAACAACTACCACTACTTTAACTAGCAAGCTAGCTGTTTGATTTGGGTTCACTAGCTAATGCTGAAGGAAGCTATGTGATGATATATTTGTGTAATGGACAGCGAGGTTTATAGTGGCCAAAACTTTAGAAAAAAGCTCTAAAGATAGCAGATAACCACTTCCTAGAAAAGCCACCATGCTAATTTTCATTTTTTAAAAATAAACTGAAAGCTGTAATATTTGGTAACACAATTAGTTGTCCCTAGTTCAACACTTTCAGTACAGTTTACGTAAAAATTACTGTTTTCTAGCTGTCCATAAATACCTGTCTGCACTCAAACGGTGATGAGAAAGCTGAGCTTGAAGCGCTGAGAATTTTCCAGTCAGGTTAAAAAAAAACAAACAACAAGAAAACAGATAAATTATTTAGGAGTGTGCACACCAGCTTCAAATTGCAGAGGGTGAACAGCTAAATAAGAGCCCACAGTACCTCAGGTTGACATTAAAGCATACAAAGTTAGCATATTTTCATTACAGCACTAGCTATTGCATTCAACTATATTAATCTGTGACCACGTAAACACTTGGTTCAATTCAAATGCACTTTTGTTTAAAATAGCTGCAACAGAAGCACAGCTAGCAAGTAGCTAGCTTTTTTGTCCATTAGCTAGCTAATATAAACATTTATTAATGTTGCATAAAATAAATACACCATTATATGATTCAAAGTCAAAATACACATGACCCTAATTGTAATTAGTGTTTTTTTTTTTTTTTTTTGCTTTAATCTCAGTGGTCTAATAACGGTTAACATAATTCTGGAAAATTCTGACCACACGCGTATGGTTAGAATAGAGTTCCCTAAAGTCGGCCATTTTTTTCCCTTCACAGTTTCGTTAACATAGAAGGTCCAGTTTCAGTTGGACTTTTTTCCCAAAAAATAATAAACGCAAACAAACATATTTCTGATATTTAACAGCGGTTCACTCTGACACATGAAAGATAAATGTAGTGTTGGTTTCGGAGTGGTGCTAGCATTATCGCTAATCTCAGGCTTGACAATTAAACTCCATAAACAACCACTTCTAAAATGTGGTGCAGATTTTCAGGTTTTCACTTTCTAGGCCTTTTAGTGGCCTTTGTAGGCAAAAACGACAGTAAACAAATATTAAAAACATCAGCTTAAACATAACCCCAAAAATCAAGGAATATTAGCAAAGGATGTATAGATGTTTAGTTAAATAAAAGGCTTAAACCACATTTCTGATACAGTGCACAATAAACAATAAAGTGTTTTATCCTTGACATCCATCCATCCATTCTCTGTACCACTTATCCTACACAGGGTCGCAGAACCTGGAGCCTGTCCCAGGGGACTTGGGGCACAAGGCAGGGGACGCCCTGGACGCATGTCTTTGGGCTAGGGGAGGAAACCCCTGAAGCATGGGGAGAACATGCGAACTCCACGCACAAAGGGCAGAGGCGGGATTCAAACCCCCAACCACAGAGGTGTGAGGAAACAGCACTAACCACTAAGCCACTGTGACCCCCTTAGCCTCATATCCTATACATTTAAAAATATATATTTTGCTAGTTTTCTGGATCTATATGTGTCAAATTTAATGTAACACTAAAGGCCTAAGGTCTAAACAAGTGCTACACCTGAATAAACAAATTGTCTTTGCCATGCAAAAGCCTTAATAATAGCCATCAGCAGTCTACACTAGGGTCAGTGCACTAGTTAGTACAGAGACCTGCAGATTGAAACGCAGCCCAGGGTTGAAGAATAAGTCGATTTGGGACGCACCCTTTAATGTAGCTGCGCGCAAAAACCCCATATGGCACGTTATAATATATTGTAATATAACATATGATATCACGATGTAGTCTTGATATTTATGATTTACATTCTTCTTGAAATTTTAGGCCACAATCCATACAGTGGCACTAATGATAAAATATCGAGAGAAAACCGCTATTACTGTAAATTTCCCCTAAAAAAGTTTATTTACCTTAAAAAAGACAAGGCTCGTGGCTGACGTCATTAACCACAAATTAATATGTCGTACATTTTCAAGCGCAAACGCAAATACAAACACGGGTATTTACCTTTATTTACGGATTCCGACCTCCTCCGCTATTCAGCTACAGCAGCACGATACTTCCGCGTACACTACAGACACGCACTTCCGGGTACGCTATGACGTGGCACTGACGTCTCCAGGGTTAACCCATTCAGCACTCATTATTTATAGCGTCGTGTGCTTTTAAAAGTGCAATAGTCATCTCACACTTGGACAAATAACCTGGAAGAAAAGTAAACCATGATAAAATATAAACGTTTAAGCCGTGGTTTCAGCACAAGTGTGTTATGTGGTTGAGAAAAACCCATTTGGAAAACTGATGTCCAGTCAGGAATACTTGTTTGGTAGCTCAAAAAAAAAAAAAAAAAAAA